AGCTCAATCTGCATTAAGAATAGCTCTCCGCATAGATAGAGTATCGTAGTGATGCTCAGAACTGGTTGTTGTGCGTAAAAGCCCCAAAGGCTGGAATCGATCACCAAGGCGAGCGCTTACAAGTCTTCGCATGGCGATTCATGGCAGTTCACCTCGCTCCGTCGAGCGCATCTATTTTCTCGCTCGCCTGTAACGCTCGAAGATGCAACTGCAAAGTAATTCATACCATGATAAGTAATAAGGAGATATACTTTTGATCCCAAGCATTTCCATGTCGAGTTCATCATCCACTGGACCGCCATGTTCGTCGTGCGTCATGAGGTGCCACTTGGAACAACTTGAAGCAAGGTGAACTTGAACTTGAACTAAGTTCAAGTCTTGAAGTTCAACTTGGGGTTACAGTAACCTAGTTACTTGGCAAGTAATACTTGCTTCTGTACTACAGCACCTGTACTACAGCGGTGGGAGGCGAAGCTCAGCCCGAGTTTTCACCAGGTAATGTCGTCGGGGATCGAAGACAGAGCTTCTCCTACGCGACGAAGGAGCCATTAAGAGATAGGCAATATAACAGGAAAGCCTTCAAAGACATGGATAAACCAGATTTCTTCGAGAAACTGAACAGAATTCGACCACCCAAAAACGAGATCTTCCGAGAGCGAAAACCTGTCTCTCACAAAGCTGCTTTGACGGATCGTCAGTCGTGATCGTGATTGACGCACCTACATCCCTTTCGAGTCATCAATGGCTCCCGAACTGAACGCGTCACGCAATCGACTATGTAATGCATGAACCCACGAAACGACTCTCCAACTCGTGATCTTGCTTCTCTTGTACTTCCTCGATCCCGACTGCGCGCTCGCGCAGAAGCCCGGAAGCATCTTGGCGGAAATTTCCTGGAAATTCCGGAAATTTCCACCTTGAAATTTCCAAACACAGAACATCGTGCTGAATTTCCACTCACATCACACCCTGATTGCTGATTCAGCATTGAGCTCGACCTCGATGTTGCCAGAGTCGATTCGCATTTCGGGATTTTTCGAATCCTTTGGGGTCGCCCCCTCGCATTCTCCTCTCCCTGCGAAGACTCTGGCTAGTGCATCAGTGAAAGCTGGTAGACCATCACGCCGTACCCACACCATATCAGTTACCGTGCGGTTGTACAGATCGATTAAAGGTAACCACTTGCCGCCGAAGACGTCTTGGATATCACCCCATCTCCGACCAACATTCATATTATCACTGACGATAGTTACCGGTGACGTCAGATATCCTTGAGCTTCATGAACAGTCATCAGTTGGGCGGCCCTTTCCCTCCACGTGGATGAGCTCGTTGATTCCGTCGCCGTGAATCGGCCGCCCACTATCCTCAGTGGCTCTATGGACAGATTGGTGGCCTTGTAGCGTCCACTGGACTTGAGTACCATCAATAACTCCGTAACGGCGTTACTCAGGTGCTCGTCGTCAATGGCAGAGTCTTTTTGGTTCCCTTCCGTGTCCGCATCGTACACTCTCAGAACGATGCCGCACCAGGAATCTTTATTGCCGTCTGTACAAACAATAGTACCGAGAGACCGCGGACCGGGGATGCCAAACCGTAGAACTGGTAGCCGCCCAGCGATGATGTGCTCGCACAAACGCTCGAAGGCTTCGTGCAACCGCTCATCTGTGTCAGATACCACGATACCATTCTGCGTGCTCTTGATGTAGCTGCACATCTTATTGAGGTCTTCCATCAACTGAGGGGTAAGCCAGCCTCTCAGGAACTGGAATCTGCATGTCCACGAGCG